AGAGAGTTGGGGCCCCCCCGCCTCACCCAGCAGCTTTCCTGGGCCCGGGCTCCATCGCCCTCCCACAGTTCCCAGACCAGGCGGGCTGTGTCCTGCCTCCCTGCCTTTGCACATGCAGTTCCCTCCCCCTCGAATGCCCTTCCTCGTCCTCCAGGTCCCAGCTTGGCTTTAACGCCACTGGAGAACCTTCCCTGAGTCCCTCGGGGCTCCCCCTGCATCCTGCACCCGCCCCAGTCACAGCTGTTTTCTGGGTGATGCTCTCACAGGGCTGTGAGGCCTTGGGGTGCTAGCTCTGCCTTTGTGCCCGAGCCCCTGGCACAGACAGGTGCTGAGTAAATCCAGAAGGAAGGGAAGGAGGGCGGGAGAGAAGGGAGCAAAGAAACCCCTTTCATGGGATTGGAGCGGACCTGGACCGTGAGCACCTGGCACAGGGCTGGGCATGGAGCAAAGCCCACTCCCTTCCGCCACCTCCACCTGGGCCTGGGCTCCAGCACCTTCGCCTCACCTGTGTCACCCGTGTCACACACCTGCCACCAGGAGCCTTCATCAGGGTCAGCCTCGGCCCAAGAAAGGGCCTTCACGTCAGCTCCCATCAACAGTGCCACCATGAAGAGAGCCTGGCATTTTCCGCCCTTGGAAGCTTCTAGAATCCTGGCCGTTGGTGCAGCCCTGCCAGGTCGGGCAGCATCTCACCTGCAGGTCTCTCTCTGTCCCTGCAGCGTGCAGCTGCGGCTGGCGCCCCTGCGAGGAGACAACGGGGCGATGCCTCTGCCCTCCGCGCACAGCCGGGTCCCAGTGCCAGGTCTGCGACGCCCACTCCTTTGGCTTCCACCCCTGGGTGGGCTGCCAGCCCTGCAACTGCTCCAGCGTGGGCACGGCAGGCATGGTGGGCACCCCTGAGTGCCACCCGGACCACGGGCAGTGCAGGTGAGCTGGGGCATGGACCCGCTGGTCTCCATGGAAGGGACGATGCGTCTGCCCACACCGGGTGTTACTCCTAATTCTCATGGGCCCGAGGGCTGCATGGGGTCCCCTCAGGGTGCAGTTCCCCGTCCAGATAGGTCACGTGTGGAGTCACTTGTCCCCCAGGTGACCCAGCAGGGCCTGGTGGGTGAGGACTGGTCGCCTGAGGCCACAAGCTGCCCGGCCTGTTCCCTCCACCATCCATCTTTTTATTTCTTTTTTTTGGTTAATCCTCGCCCCAAAGTATTGTTCCCGTTGATTTTTAGAGAGTAGGAGGGAGAGAGAGAAACACTGATGTGAGAGAGGCACATCGTTTGCTTGCCTTCCACTTGCGTTCCGACCAGGAATCGAACAACCCAGGTACGTGCCCTAGACTGGGAACCGAACCCGTGACCCTTTGGTCTGTGGGCCGACAGTGTAACCACTGAGCCACCGGCCAGGGCTCCAGCATATTCTTAGTGTCAAAATGCACGTGTAGAGTTAGCAACTTCTACATGTCCCTGTGGGGGGCGCCTCGCCACTTGTATTTAGGGCCGGGCTCCACCCTTCCCTGGGTTAGCTGGACGTTGTGAAGGACCGGGCAGGACTCGGGCTGGAATCCTCAGGCCGGTCCCTCCCTGGGGCAGCTGGATGGGTGAGCCACATGCACCCCCTGCTGTGTAACCACCGTCCAGCATCTCCAGCCTCTGGTCTGGGAGGCGGGACCCTGTCCTTCATGCCGTCGCTGCTCCGTCCGGCTGGTACGCTGTTCACCTGGAAGCCCGTGACTCCGGCTTCGAGGTTTCAATGCAGAGCCTGCTGGGCACCTGTCTGAGCCGGTGTGGGGGTCCTGTGTGTGTGTGTGGCAGGGGGGACAGGGAGGGGAGGGACATGCTGGAGAAGCTCCTGGGTGGGGCTGCCCCGGAGCAGCGAGAGGTCCTGGCACGACTGCTGAGACATGAATGGCAAATGTTGTTTCCATGATGAGAGGGAATCACTGATGGGCTGCCTCCTGCTGGCGATCAAGCCTGCAACCCGGGCACGTGCCCTGACGGGGAATGGAACTGGTTCATGCTCCTGGTTTGAGAAGGATAAAAACTATCCCTCTCCCTTCCTCTCTCCCTAAATGCAAAAATCAGGTCTTCAGTCAGCTCCTTCCTGAAGGACAGGGGTTGCTTGGTATGGGGCAGTGATCAGGTGTGGCCCAGGGCCTTCCTTAGGCTTGATCGCTGCCTGCTGCTCGCCCCCACAGGGGATGGAGCCTGCACCCAGGCCTGTGCCCTCCCCGGGAGTGGAACCGGTGGCCTCTTGGTCCCTGGATTGATGCTCAACGGCTGAGCCCACCTGCTGGACTCCTGTTCCTTTATTTTCCAATGAAGTGGAAACATGTACAACAGTTCCCTCTTCCTGTCCGCACCCTCGGGGCTCAGGCCCGGGCTCTGCTGCCTCCATTCTGCCTTGGCCGTCAGCACCGGGCCCCAGGCCGTGGACACACCTGGCCGTCTGTAGAGATGCCGACGGCTTCCGCTTCCTTTGCTTGGGTGCAGGTGCAGGCCCAGAATCTCAGGGTGGCGTTGTGACCGATGCGCTCCTGGGTTTCACCGCTTCCCCGAGTGCGTCCCCTGCCGCTGCAGCAGAGACGGGACGGAGCCCGGAGTCTGCAACCCGGAGACCGGGGCCTGCCTCTGCAAGGTGAGCCTGGGCCGTGCAGCCAGGACGTTGGCTGCCAATCACTGTGGAAGCTCTTCATATCCAGTCCATGCACAGGAATATATGGGGACGGGATGGACCCGTGGTTGTTGTGGAGGCTACAGACCTCCTTAAGAGTCCGGTGACAGGTGCAACCCTCTCCAGAAAATCACACGCATCTTTAAAAAAAAAAATAATTATATATATATAATTTATTTCAGAGAGGAAGGCACCCACACACTCTGCCTACAATCCAAGAGGCTAAGAGGTGCCCTAGGAGCCTGTTCCTGGCTGTGCCTGTCGGGCCCCAGGTGCCAGCTTCAGGGAGGCCTTGGTCCCATCTGACTGCGATTCCCTGCCTTCGAGACGCCAGCGGGAAGGACATGCCCTGTGCGTGTGGGGGACACACGTTTAAGACAGCAGTTCTCAGCCTTCCTGACGCGGCGGCCCTTTAATACGGTTCCTCATGGTGTGGTGACCCCAATGTCACTGTTACACATTGAACATAATAAAGCATAGTGATTATCCACAAAAACAGCATGTCATTATAGATGTGTTTTCCAATGGTCTTAGGCGACCCTGTGAAAGGGTCGTTCGACCCCCAAAGGGGTCACGACCCACAGGTTGAGAACCTCTGATCTAAAGGCTCACACAGCTGGTTCAAACAGTGAGGCCGTAAAGAAGCCTAACAATCACGCGCCGTCGTGTCACGCTCTGTTGGCACCCCCGTCCTGGCAGCCTGTGCTGTGTTCCGTTCGTGCGGGTAGGTTACGGCCGTCGGGACCCCACGGAGGGAATGACCTCTCCTTCCGTGTTTTCCGTAGGAGAATGTGGACGGTGCCGAGTGCGACGTGTGTCGAGAAGGCTCCTTCCACTTGGACCCGGCGAACCCCCAGGGCTGCACCAGCTGCTTTTGCTTTGGGATCAGCCGTCACTGCCACAGCACCCACAGACGGAGAGCGAAGGTGTGCGGGAGCGCGTGGGTCTGTTTCAGGGAGAACATCTGAGTGAGGGCGGACGGATGGGCGTGAAACATGGGGGCCATGGGAGTGTCTGGATAGTACTTTGTTGTTGTTTTAAATACGTATATTTTTATTGATTTCAGAGGAGGGGAGAGTGGGACAAAGAGAGAGACATCAGTGATGGGAGAGAATCTCTGGTCGGCTGCCTCCTGCACGCCCCACACCAGGGATGGAGCCCACAACCCAGGCCTGTGCCCTGACTGGGACTCTAACCATGACCTCCCAGTTCATAGGTCAACACTCAACCACTGACACTCGCCGGCCGGGCCGGGCTGTATTACTTTGTTAAAAGGCTGAGCCTGGCCCTGGCTGAGCCTCAGCCTCAGTGCTGTTCCCACAGATGCTCTCCTGCCCCATCCCATCCTGCAGGGTGTCAGGCCCCTGCTCCAGCGCCGGGTGCTCATGGGGCCACCCTCACCGCTCCCCACGCCATAGCCCACCCGTCACCCTCTGCCCTATTGTACGATTAGTTCTAAAATGTGTTTATTATCTGCCTCCCTCCCCCACGCGTGCCTGAGCTCCGATTTAGACCAGGCCCCAGCAGCATCTGGACACAGTGGATGCTCAGTGGGCACCGCTAAACACATGGCTTTGTGGTTCCTCCCCTGCTGCTTCTCATCAGCTCGTCTTCCTGTGTTACTTCTTTCTCAGGCCTTTCACCACATCTTCTGTTTGGCCCCTTTTTGTTATTGTGGATCCTCACCTGAGGATATTTAGGCAGAATGAAGGGAGGGGGAGAGACAGAGAGAGAAACAGCGATGTGAGAGAGATCCACTGATTGGTTGCCTCCCACATGCACCCCGTCTGGGCCGGGATGGAGCCTGCCACCCAGGTACGTGCCCTCCACCGGAATAAAGTCAGTGGTTGAGTGTTGACCTGTGAACTGGGAGTTCATAGGCCTTGACTTACGAGTTTAATTCGTTCCGTGATGGAGCTCGTAACTCAAATTACTCGTATGTCAAATCAAAAATGAACGAGTGAGACACGTGATGCTGGGCTGATGTTGTGGCGTTCACTGTGACGTTCGCTGCGCCAACTAGCGGTGGGGTATCTGAAGCTGGCTCGTAACCTGAATTTTAGCTCGCAACTCAAAGCAAAAAATCGGCCGAGAGATGGCTCGTATCTCAAAAAACTCCTTAGTCGGGACACTCGTAAGTCAAGGCCTCCCTGTAGATCCCAGAATCCTTCAGTCTGCAGGCAGGTGCTCCAACCACTGAGCCAAACCAGCTGGGGCTCTGTGGCCACTTTTTAAATTAACTCCATGCTAGTAAAACGTGTGTTGCCTTCATTATTCCATGAACCAGTAGCCTAATACTTGCTTTCTTTGTGCGAGTGTTGTATCCAACAAGTATTCAAAGAAAGGTTTCATTGCCTGCCTCCTAAAAGGAGTGCAGCCTTTAATTGGGAAAAAGTGAGTTTGTAAACCCACTCTGCAGTCTCCTCCCTCTGCCCCCGGGAACCCGGAGCCTGATTCCTAACCTCTGCCTTGCCAGCCCTTCGCTCCCTTCCTCTCCCCATTAACTCCTGGCGTCCTTTGTGAGCAGGGACAGAGTCAGTGACGAGGCCCCATAGAGCAGAGTGATGACAGCCCAGCACTGCGTTCCACTCCCCGTCTCACACGCAGGAGCTCACCGTAACAGGAGCCCACGGGACTAGTTGTTACTTATGCGCTTACCCAGGTGTCACTCGCACATTGATGGGCGTCAGGAGTCAGGATGTGTCTGGGCACAAGGATAACCCTGCACCCCCTGCTCTCTGCCCTCCGGGGACCCCAAGGCAGGGCCTGTGAGGCCAGGCAGCTGCTCGTCTCTGGCTCCTCTGCACAGCCCAGCTGCGGCGACAGGCCCCATCCCCCGTTCCCACCCTGGCTTTTGTGTTCCAGTTTGTGGACATGATGGGCTGGCGCCTGGAGACAGCGGACAGGGCCCAGATCCCCGTCTCCTTCAACCCCGGCAGCGGCAGTGTGGTCGCCGACCTCCAGGAGCTGCCCTCCACCGTGCTCAGCGCCACCTGGGTCGCACCTCCCTCCTACCTGGGGGACAAGGTAGGTGCCACCCTCCCTCCTACCTGGGGGACAAGGTAGGTGCCACCTGGGCCCCCCTCCCTCCTACCTGGGGACAAGGTAGGCGCCACCTGGGCCCCCCTCCTCCTACCTGGGGACAAGGTAGGCGCCACCTGGGCCCCCCTCCCTCTTACCTGGGGACAAGGTAGGCGCCACCTGGGCCCCCCTCCCTCTTACCTGGGGACAAGGTAGGCGCCACCTGGGCCCCCCTCCCTCCTACCTGGGGGACAAGGTAGGCGCCACCTGGGGTTTCTAGCTCTGCGTGTGGGGAATGTGGATGCTCCCCCGTAACCCGCTCCTGCCTCACGCACACGCCTCTTCACCTGCACAGGTGGGCCATGCACTGGTTATCTTCGCTGAGTAACAGGTTTCCTGCAACGCTGACTTTTTAAAAGATGATATATATTATACACACATACGTATATATAGGTGTGTGTGTATATATATTATATACATATATGTATATATAGGTGTGTGTATATATATTTTACACATATGTATATATAGGTGTGTGTGTACATATCATATACACATATGTATATATAGGTGTGTGTATATTATATACATATATGTATATATATAGGTGTGTGTATACATATCATATACACATGTATATATAGGTGTGTGTATATATTATATACACATATGTATATATAGGTGTGTATACATATTATATACACATATGTATATATAGGTGTGTATATATATTATATACACATGTATATATAGGTGTGTGTGTATACATATTATATACACATGTATATATAGGTGTGTATATATATATTATACACACATATGTATATATAGGTGTGTGTGTATATTATACACATATATGTACATATAGGTGTGTGTATATATATTATACACATATGTATATATAGGTGTGTGTGTATATATATTATATACACATATGTATATATAGGTGTGTGTATATATATTATTGATTTCAGAGAGGAAGGGAGAGGGAGAGAGAGAATCGATTGGCTGCCTCCTGCCCACCCCACACTGGGGAATCGAGCCCGTAACTGAGGCATGTGCCCTTGACTGGAATTGAACCCGGGACCCTTCAATCTGCAGACTGATGCTCTCTCCACTGAGCCACACCAGCTCAGGCAACACTGACTTTTAAAGCAGCAGACTGATGACCTAGCCTGGTTTCTGAGGCAGGAGTCCAGGAGCGGATGCTCGGGGTCTCTCCTGAGGGTGCGGTCGAGGTGTCAGCCAGGGCGTGGGCACCTGGGCTGAGGGTCCACCTCCAAGCTGTCCTGGTTGCCAGCAGGTCTCTGTTCCTGCAGGCTGTCGACAGGAAGCTCCACACGGAGCCATGCCAGCTGGGCTACGCTTTTTTTTTTTTTTTTTAACAGAAGGATTTTTTAAAAAGGATCTTTTACTGTGAAGCTCCATCACGCTATGCGGTTTAAGTGATCTAAAGTGGGCATCCTGTGGAACGTTAAATACCATCTTCAATCCGCTCGCTAGTGGCCCTGTTAACAGGCTGATTGTGTCTCTCTCCAGACCCTGGGCCCACGTACGTCTCACATGAGCGATGTTGCCGTGGTCTCTTCATGTTTGCCTGCTGACCACATCCCTCCCATTTCAGGTCTCCTCCTACGGTGGCTTCCTCACCTACCAAGTCAAGTCCTTCGGGCTCCCGGCCGACATGGCCCTTCTGGGGAAGCAGCCAGCTGTGCAGCTCACTGTGGGTACCAGCCCAACTCGAGGGACAGAGCGGGCGGCCGCCGTCGGCACTGATTCCCTTTAGGGCAGCTTGACGAGGGGCTGCGAATGTCTCGATGACGTCGTTTCCAATATTTGTAGAAACTAAATGAAGGGTAGACCATGCAGTGCCTGCCGGGACCTGAGGCCCAATGTGCTTAGTGGCTCATAACTTGATTCTCTTAAGTTCACTTTTATGTTTCCATCTTTCAGTTTCCTTTCCAAATGCTTTTGAGCCCTTCCTGCCGACAAGGCCACGTGGCTGGGCTCATAAAGGGCAGGCAGTGCCTGTCCTCAAATAGAGGGTCACCTCAACCTTTGCAGAGCACCTTGACACGAAGCACCAAAGGTGTGAGAGTGACGACTGAGGGAGGAGCAGCTGCCACTAAGACCACTGCCGAGCGGTGCGGTATCCCAGGCTCATTCTCTGTGCAGAGTCTCCGAGGCCAGGCTATCAGCACACCTATATGTTACGGCCAACGCGTTGATTGTGCAGTCGGTTAGATTCACAGAGAGGTGACGCTCAAAATGTCTCCCTGATTCCTCCCTGGAGCATGAACCGTTACTCAGCTGTGTCCGGGCTGCTGTGATGAAGAGCCGACTGGGCATGTTTCTCAGGTTGAGGTTTAAAATGATCTGTGATCGCAGATAATCTCTTCTTTCTGAAACACGGCTCGAAGGCATTCCTGTGTGTTGGGGTGAGGGTGCTGACAGTGGGCGCTGGCCTCCCCTGTACCCTGTGCTAGGGAGCGGGTGCAGAGCGGGTGGATAGGCTGAGTCCAGAGGGTGAGGAATGTAGGGCTGGGTCCCCCCAGTCCCCTAGGGGCCAGCCCCGAGGCTCCCTGCTCTGCAGGCTGCACTGCGGCCTGGCACCTTCCTGCCCACCCCACCCCCCAAAGCGCTTTCTTGCTACCACAGTCCAGTCTGTAGGCAGCAATAGAAATAGCACCTCATGTACTAACTGTGAGGCACAGCTTCAAATTTTCCCCCATCTTTTTAGCCATCTTTTGTCAAGAGAATTTGGGGGTTCCTGACTGTGAACCCACAGTGTATTGGGTAGTAGCATTTTGCGTCCTTGTCACTCATCCTTTGCCAGTCAGTTTATTTCCCAACAATTTTCTAGAATCAGGCACTTCATGCTATGCATGCAGATCCACATAAATTTGTTCTTAGCCTGTCCACAGCCTGAGGGCCCAGCCACAGCCTGAGGGCAGGCGTGCTTTTCTCTGAACAGGGTCAGCGCATGTCCGTCGTCCACGAGGAACCGAGTGACCCGCGACCAGACAGGCTGCATCACGGGCGGGTGCAGCTGGTGGAGGTGGGTGACCTCAGGAATGTGCCTCCCTGGCTCTCCAGGGCCCTCTGTTCACAGCTTAGCCCTTCCACACAGTCGTGCTTTTTAACTTACTTTGTGAGTTAAAAATATGAATTATACGAATCCTCCAAATATAAACATAATTTATATCTCTCAGTTTAAACGAGTTATAGAAACTATACAGAGTTTCATCCTCACAGGGTTCTGTTTGTGCCATTTTTATGGCACTGAGCACTGTCCGTCCTCTTTGTCTTATAAACCCCATGAGCCTCTAAGTGCTACGACGTATCCTCAGTGCTGGGACCTGTGAGTGTCCAACAAATGCTTGGGGCGAATTGACGGAAAAGCCACAAAGACGTCTAACATCAAAGAATAAGAAAATGTGGTTTATACGTGGGAGGTTGGGAGGAGAGGGCTGAGGAGAAACAGCCCAGACATTGAATTTACTATATAAATGGCTTTAAATCAACATTTTCAATATGTCAAAGAACTAGAGAACACGATGCCTAAAGAGCTAAAGGAGAATAGGAAAGCCCTGTCTTACCAATTCGTATGTTGAAGCCCTGACCCCAGGGCTGTGTTTGGAGTAAGGAAGTGAGTAAGGTTAGATGAGGTCATAAGGGTGGAGCCCTGACCTGGGAGGATGACATGTGCCCTCTAGTATGTCCTTATAAGAGGACACATCGGGGAGCTCACTCTCGCCCTGCCGTGTAGGACAGTGCGGAGTGGCCATCTGTAAGCCAGGAAGAGAGTTCCTAACTGGCTGGCACCTTGACCTGGGATTTCTACCCTCCAAACTGTGATGAAATACACCTTGTTTAAGCCGCCTCATCTAAGGTATTTTGTTATGGCGGCCAGAGCTGACTAAGACAAGGGCTCAGCAACAGGTTTGAGCAGGCAGAAGAGAGAATCACCCAACTTGAAGAAGTTAAGTTGAGATTATCTATCTGGGGAACAGGAAGAAAAGAAGGTGAGGCAAAACAAACAGAGTCTCAGAGATAGTCAGAAAAAATGTACCAACATGTGCACAATAGGAGTGCCAGAAAGGGGGGGCTAGGAATAAAGGCTGAAAACTCCCCAAATTTGATGAAAATCATTAATCTACACACCCAAGCTCAACAAACTCCAAGTGTGATAAATGCAAGCAATCCACATACAGAAGCATCATAGTAAAGTTGCTGAGAGACAGAGAATCTTGAAGGCAGCATGAGAGAAGCACTGTGTCACACACAAGGGGTCCGCAATAAAAGGACAGCGGACTGTTCACCGAAACCATGGGCCTTGGACAACAATGGGCTGAGACTTTCAAAGTGCGGAAGGTAACACACTGTCAACAAAGAATTATACATCCAGCAAAATGTACTTCAAAAATAATGGAAATGAAGACATTCTATTATAAACAAAACTGAGAAGATTCATCAGATAGCCAACCCTCCTTACAAGAAATACCACAGGGAATCCTTTAGACTGAAATGAAAGGACTCTGGACAGTAACTTAAATCCACATAAGAAACCCAATACAGGTAAAGGTAACTACAAAGGTAAATAGAAAAGGCAGTATAAACATATCTTTTATTTATAACTCCTTTTTTCTCTTATCTGCTTTAAATGACAGCTGCATCAAGCAATAATTTTACATCTGTGTTGGTGAGCCTACCATGTATAAAAATGTAAGTTATGTGACCGTAGCACAAAGGAGCAGGGGAGGGAATGAAGCAACTGGAAGCCACGTTTCTGTATCCTGTTGAAGTTAAGTTGGTATTTATATAAATGTCCAGCATCAGCAAGTCCACAGAGGCAGCATGTGGCTTAGCAGGTGCCTGGGCCTGGAGATGGGAATGGGCAGTAACTGCAGTAGCCAGGAGGCTGCTCTTGGAGGTGGGTGGACATGTCCTAACGTTACATTGTGCTTCTGTAAATTTACTACAAGTTTTATGTGTAAAGTGAGGGAATATTATTGTATATAAATTATACCTCAAACTGTTAAAACATATTATATAAGTATTATATTTATGTGTTAACTAGAGGCCGGTGCATGAATTTGTGCACTGGTGGGGTCCAGCCAGCCCGCTCCGATCGGGGTAGGGGGGTGCTGATCAGGGCCGGGGCCAGCTTGGGGAAGGGGCCGCAGGCGGTTGGCTGGCCGGCTCCTGGTCAAGGGGACAATTTGCATATTAGCTTTTTATTATATAGGATAACAGTTACCATTTATTCATGTTTACTATACACTGTTCTGATACTTTATGTGCATCACATCACTAATCCGCTTTCATCCTCACGATGCTGCTGAGGGATTAGGTGTTGTTACTCTGCCCATTAGAGACGTGGAAACTCTTCAAAGGAACCAACAGACTCCAGAGGTTAAAAGTACAGGCTTTTGTGCACAGGATGCCCAACATCACTAAGTCATGAGAGATGCATATCAAAGCCAGGAGACACCCCTCACACCTACTAGGAAGGCTACAAGAAATGTTTTTAATTAAAAACAAAACAAAAGAACAAGAGTGAGCAAGGATATGGAGAAATTGTACGCCGTTGGTGGAACTGCATTGCTGTGGAAAACAACTGAGGCTCCTTAGAAATTTAAAGAATAGAATTTCCGCATCATTCAGCAATCCCATTTCTGGATATATATCCACAAGAATTGGAAACAAAATTTTGAAGGCATATTTGCACACGTGTGTCCATCACAGCACTATCCCAGTGGCCCAGAGGCGAAAACAATGGATAAGAAAAAGTGGTGCATACGTAGAAATGTGATCCCACCTCAGAAGGCAGGAAGCCCTGCCACAGGCTAGAACGTGAATGGGACTGGGGGTATCGTGCAAAGTGAGATAAGCCAGTCACAAAAACAACTGCATGATTTCCTGTAGAGAGGTATTTAAACTCGCAGATTCATAGAGACAGAAAGTGCAATGGTGGTCGCTAGGGGCAGGGTTGGGGCTGGGGGTAGATGGAAGTGATTTCTTAGTAGGCGTAGAGGTTCAGTCCTGCAAGATGACAGAGTTCTAGGCACCTGTCCTACAACAATGCACGTAGAGTAATAGTATTGTAGCGTACAGTTAAATACAGCTAACGTTTGTGCACCATAAGCGTCTATAGATGCGGGCGGCCGACCTTTTTAATTAAATTCAAAATATCGTGGCAGTTAACTGGTTAAGGTGATAATTTTTATATTGTATCTTTTTCATCATAGAAAATGAATGTGTGTGCGCAAGAGAAGGTTGTGTTCTCTGTCCCAGTTACTCACATGGAAATATCTGGGCTGCATCCCTCGGTTTCCATGCCATCTTTCTTGGTGCTTGCACAAACAAAGGTGTATTTTATTTATTATTTTTTAAAAATATATTTTTATTGATTTCAGAGAGGAAGGGAGAGAGAGAAACATCAATGATGAGAGAGAACCATGGACCGGCTGCCTCCTGCACACCCCCCACTGAGGATAGAGCCCACAGCCCAGGCATGTGCCCTGACAGGGAATTGAACCGTGACCACCTGATTCATAGGTCGACGCTTAACCGCGGAGCCACGCCAGCTGGGCCACAAGTACATTTTAAAAGAAGCCTAACTCTGGAAACTTCAGTTTCACTGCATTGTTCCTGATTTCCTGCCTTCGTTTCCCCTTCGACGCAGTGCTCCCTCCTCCTGGGAGGGGCAGGACATCTGACGCCTGAGTGTCTGTCCACCGCCGGGCCCTTCCTATCCGACTGCATCTTGTTTTCTGTTGTGTCGTTGACTGTCTGGGTGTCTGCCTCCCTGAGGTGAGCCTGCCTCTCTGTTTCCCTGCAGGGAAGCTTCAGGCACGCGGGGAGCGGAGCCCCGGTGA